ATCAATTATAAGGAGACATACTCTCCTGTAATGGACCCAATTACGTTCTGTTACTTAATAAGTTTAGTGGTTTCAGAAAAACTTAACATGCAACTTATGGATGTCATCACCACGTATCTATATGGAGAATTAGATACTGACATATATATGAAAGTCCCAGAAGGACTTAAGTTGCCTAAAACATCTAACAAACCACGAGGTATGCTCTCAATCAAATTAAGGCAATCATTATATGGGTTGAAACAATATGGACAAATGTGGTATAATAATCTCAGTGAGTATTTGATCAAAGAAGGGTATACCAACAATGTCATTTGTCCTTGTGTGTTCATTAAGAAATCCAACTCTGGATTTGCTATAGTGGCATTATATGTCGATGATATGAACCTAGTTGGAACCCCTGAAGAACTCAATAAAACTGTTGAATATCTGAAAAGCGAATTTGAAATGAAAGACCTTGGAAAAACAAAATATTGTCTCGCCCTGCAGATCGAGCATTATGCTAGTGGAATTTTGGTCCACCAATCAGCTTACATTGAAAAAAAATGCTGAAGTGATTTGGCATGGATAAGGCTTATTCACTAAGCACGCCAATGGTCGTTTGTTCTTTGGACGTTAAGAAAGATCCATTCCGTCCAAAAGAAGATGATGAACTGGTCCTTGGTCAAGAAGTACCATATTTGAGTGTAGTATACCAGATACAGCTTTTTCAATCAACTTGTTATCAAGGTATAGCTTCGCTCCAACAATTTGTCATTGGAAGGGAGTCAAACATGTATTGGGATACCTTTGTGGGACAACAGACATGAGTCTATTCTACTAAAAAAAATCCACAAATGACCAGGTTCTTGTTGGATATGTAGATGCTAGTTTTCTCTCTGATCCACATAAAGCCCGCTCACAAACTGGATATGTGTTCAAGAATAGAAATACAACAGTCTCATAGCACTCAACAAAGCAAACATTAGTTGCTACATCTTCAAATCACTCAGAAATACTTGCTTTACATGAAGTAAGTCGTGAATGTTCTTGGTTAAGATCAATGATCCATCATATTCGGAATTCATGTGGTCTACCTTTAAAGACAAAAACTCCAAATGCCATCCAAGAAGATAATGCAGCCCGTGTTGCCCAAATGAAGGAAGGATTCATCAAGGGCGATAAGACTAAACACATATCTCCAAAAAATTTCAGTGCACATGAGCTTCAGAAGGCTAAAGTTATTAAAGTCAAACAAATCCGTTCCAATGAAAATCTGCAGACCTGTTCACCAAATCTCTACCAAAGTGCACGTTTCAGAAGTTGGTGCAAAGTATCAGATTACGTTGACTTACCAATCAGATAAATTTGGAAAATGCGGAATCAGGAAGAGATACATATCAGGGGGAGAATCCATGATACATGCATGTTGTACTCTTTTTCCTTCGATTGGGATTTTTCCCACTGGGTTTTTCTTATCAAGGTTTTAACGAGGCAACATAAGCATACTTAACACTATATCAACAATCCAGGTAAAGTTGTACTCTTTTTCCTTCGCTATGGTTTTTTTCCCACTGGGTTTTTCCAAGCAAAATTTTAACGAGGCAACTGATGTTGATATGTGGGCATCCAAGGGGGAGTGTTGAAAATATTTGTGGGTTAATGAATGCCCACACAGTAATGTGGACTTGGGAAATGAATGAGGATTCTATTTTCAAAAGGTGTGTGCTGTAAATTTCAAGGTGTAATTATTACGTTTGTTTGGAGTTGCTCTATAAATACACTGAGAAGAAGAAAAGATCAATAACATCAGTATCTATCCCTCCCTCTTTTATTTGTCATCCCCTTGTGTTAGAGTTATAGTGTGATATTTTACACCTGCTTCGCTCTTGTTACTAGTAAAAATTATCTCTCTAACTTTTGCCTATTTATAACAAAATGACAATTTTTATTTGTAGGATGTTAAGGAGATTTTTCCAAAATGTGACTCTTTATGAACTATACGCTACATCTTCTTTTTGGTACAATGTTTTATAATGTTAGCACGAGAAAGAGGTGGCGATGAGTCCATTGAGAGTTTCACATAGTCTTCTTAGCATTTCTCTTTTTATTTTGTTATTTTTATAGGGTTTTTATCACAAATTATTCCTAAAATTGACCATCACCATTAAGATGGTCCCTGAAATTGAAAATCAATCAATGTAGTCCTTGAAAATAGGTGTTGCAAATCAATGTAGTCATTTCGTTATAATTATGTTAAAAATTCTGTTAAGTGCTGATGTGACACATAAATGGGCCTCATAAATCTTTTTTTTCACAAATAGTCCTTGAAATTGACCCAAGACATCAAAATGGTCCTTGAAATTGACTCGCAACATCAAAATGGTCATTGAAATTGAAAATTGATCAATGTAGTCTCGCAAGTTAGAGTCTCAAATGAAATGTAGTAATTCCGTCACAGTTCCGTCAAAAATTCTGTTATGTGCTAATGTGACACATAAATGGGTCACACAAGTCTAATTAAATAAAAAATTACAAATAGGCTTAATAATTTAATAGTTAATAAAAAAATTGTCAACTTAAAAACCCAGTCCTGCAATCACCTTCAATCCCAGTCCACATTTCTCTACCTCTTTTGCTCTCTATTCTCTAAAAAAAAGTACCAATGCACGCATCTTTACACACTTGGATCGAGATCACCTTTGGTGACGGCTTTGCCCATTGGCATGCCTTCTGGGACATCACCGTTAACATTTAGACGGTCAACATCCTCACAACCTTAATCTTGGAGAGCTTGTTCGGCGCTTTCCTGGTGGTCTAGTGATGCAAAGAATGATGAGGTCTGCCTTGAGATAGTGATGTTATAACTAAGGTGCGTCTATTGTTGGTTGAAAAATATTTCCACACCCCCTCTTAAGCCTTAGTTAAACCTTGTGCCCTTGAAAATTTATGGAAGGGATCTCTCTTCGGAGTAGGCCCTACTATAAGCAAAACAAATTCCATTGTGCAAAAAGGTATTTAGACAACGTTTTTAATTAATTATTAAACCCATATCAGCACATAACAATTTTTTTTTTACATAATAGTGGAAGATAGATCATATTGATATGTGACACCTATTTTCAAGAACTACATTGATTGATTTTCAATTTCAAGGACCATATTGATGGTGTGGGTCAATTTCAGAGACCCTCTTGATTGTGTGGGTCAATTTCAGGGATCATCTGTGATAAAAACCTGTAAATCTCGTGGGGCCCATTTATGTGCCAAATCAACACTTAATATAATTTGTAACAGAATTATGATAGAAGGACCACATTGATTTGCGACACCTGTTTTCAGGGATTACATTGATTGATTTTAAATTTTAGGGACTATCTTGCTGGTGAGGGTCAATTTTAGGAACCATTTGTGATAAAAACCCTTTTTTATAATTTGAATATCAATTGTAGTTTGTTATGCATCTATCAAAAGTGGGGCCCATGCTACTTTAACGTACGGTGTAATGGTATTTCGCTTTGTTTGTAAGTGAGATGTTTTATGTTTGATTCTCGCTAAAGGCGAATTTGAACCACATTATTGCTAGCTCATTATGAGACTAAACCCATCATCTCCCCCTTAAGGTAGGTAATATTGTTTGTAAAAAAAAAAAAAAGTGGATATCCATATTTTAGTATCTAGTGGTTGAAAGTTAAAGATTTAATAATAAGATTTGAGAGAGACAGATAATGTAACAAAGTAAAAAGGAAAAGATGAAAATGAAATATGGCTTCAATTGTTTTTTTCCTCCTTTAGAAATGGTAATTTGATAAATATAGCTTCAAGTGGAGATGTAACAAAGTAAAAAGGAATAGATGAAAATGAAATATTGACCTGAAAAAGAAAATACCTCATTTGGAGCCTAATGCCTAGGCGGTCTAGGTACATTTTCTTAATTTTCAAATGCCTAAGGATTAATCGGGACTAGCACCTAAGCGAGGTCTAAGCGGGGACTTTTAAAACGTGTACATAATGCATTCACCATGCGTATTCTTGATACAGTATATTCATCTGATGCGGTGCACGCATTGAGACTGTAGATTTGGCTTTCCATTTTCATTAGCTTCTCCTAATTAAGTTTCAAGGAGCTGGATTCTTGAGTTCTCGTCGGACGAGTTGGATGATCATATAAGGTTCCAGTAGATATTGACTTGGAGGACTACTTATGAGTATTAGACCCTTGTTTTTATTTATTTAATTTCTGCATCAAGATTTTAGGTTTAATTACTTGGGACGAAATGTAATACAGTTCATTCAGTAAGAGATAAAAAGTTGTACCTACTTGAGTATTATAGAGAATCTAACGAAATTAAGAGTGTGTATATCACCCTATTATTAGGGTGTATCTCTCATTACATGTCACGTGATGAAAGAAACTTAAATAAGGGGATATATCCCTATTGTACCCAAGAATCCCTTCGAAGTACCCCAATTCTGTTAAATTCTTGGGGCAGACCAAATCCATAATCTTGGAGTTTGTTTTTGTAATCATACTTCTAATCTTCCTTTAATTAGCTCAATTAAACTCTGAACTGACAGAAAAAATGATCCAAAAAACCAAAGAAACAGAGGATTGAAAACTTCATATGAATCAAACGAAACCACAATAACGCAGTTATGCAGCCAAATCAAATTCTATGAAATCATAGTAAAATACAACCTCAATAGAACACCAATAGACCATGAAGAGGTTGCGACTGGGATTTCGAAATACTCATTTCTGATCTTTATCACTGTTTCCCAATCATTACTAGAGACTTTTCTTCTTATTCTTCAGATGACATCAAGGGGTAGTCTTTTTCTTTCTACTCCTCGGATTTTCTTGGCATTTTCTCAGATTTCTTTTTATTTGGCCCTCTTTCCGGGGAAGTTTTCGAGATGGGGTTTCGTGAAACTTGATCAAAGATGTAACCCAACTTTGAAAGAAGAAAACAAAAGAAAAGAGAAAGCTCAGTAACCCAGCTTTGAAAGAAGAAAACAAATGAAAAGAGAAAGCTCCATAACATTAATAAGGGAATTCAAAGCAATGTTACACATCACGCAACCTCAAATATCTAGGAAGCAAATCTACTAGCAAAAGTCGGTTTGTATTGCTGGACTTTTGATGATTCTGTAAATAAATAAAAGTTCTAGCATCTCAAAACAAGTAACACGTCTTCAATCGCAGTGCCTTCCTCAACTTAATCTCTCGGGCAAACACCATGAGTACTGGTCCATTCTGCTCCACATCCATAGCAGAACTGGAATTGGCACCTGCAGATACAATATACAGTAAATACAACTCCCACCAAGTAATCTATCTAGAATCTTTAAACCTTACATTAACCACAATTACATAAAGTATTTCAATATCATCAGTCAAAACTAATTAGCTGTTTAACCCATTAAACTTATTCCATTACTAAACGCATTCCATCATCTAAAACGTCTTAAGGATAAACGTACTTCTGTGTTAGAATTTGCATCCAACCGGAAACTAATTGGCAATTTGTGGAGACGACTAAGATTTTTAAAACTACAAATGCAAGGCTTCCATTTCAGATGTAGAGTACTATACTATCGGCATGCCTCATCATTTGTGGAGTCACTTAAACCAAACATAAGAAAACGTGTCGCCACCAAGTTTAACTTGTGGCTAATCTGCTCTAATACTATTATATCGTGTTAGATAATACTCGCAACAAGAGAAACCAGAATTGTGATGATAAATAGAATTATTGATGAAATTTTTATGCCACTTAGAAATAAAATGCCCTAAAAAAGCAACAACCGCCTATGCCTAATATACTTGTGCAGATAATTCCAAATTAAGCAAACTGACCTGCAAGTAATATGCAAACAACCTTGAGTCTTCTCCACATAATATTTGCACCTAGGGCACCGCTTCCACTTCTTCTGCTTTGCAAGTTCCTTAACCATAAGATCCGCCCTCCCTCGCTCGTCCTCGTTAAGCCTCCGATACTCCTCACAATCAACTCCTGGATGCCAAGGGACTTGACATCGTGCACAGAACAGTCTATGGCAAATGGGACACTCGGACTCTCTTACAGCCTCCTCACCTTCGTTGTCGATCATCAAAACCGTTGAGCAATCGCTGAAAGGACAGTAGAGTCTTGGTGCCCCTAAAACCATAGCTTCACAAAGGGCATCATTCCACCTTTCTATGACTTCTTTGGGAAGCATTGGCATACAAGCATCAAGTTCCAGCACAGCCCTGCAGTCCAAGCCGGGGCACGAAACTACGTGAATGTTTGCTTGGATTTTGGATGCGACATGCTTGGTTATGCAATCAGAGCAGAAGGAGTGAACGCAGCCCTCATTTCGAAACATCTCGTCAGCCTCTTTCATCTCAACACAAATCCCACAAAGGGTTTGTGTTGATGGTTGTGATGACGACGATTCGCCGGACTCAAGCGTGTCCTGAATTGGTAATAGGATTTCATGGATTGGATGGGATTGGATTGCTTGGGTTGCTTGGATTGTTGCCGATGATGAAACGGAAGAGGAACCGTCATTGTGCGTCGATTGGGAGGTGATTGCAGAAGAGGACATTAGAGCCTCTTGGAACTGCAACTCTTGTGCATACTTGGAATCTGAAACTGGCTCAGACTCGTCATAAGTTTCATCATCAAAGAGTGCGGAAAAGTAGAAATCATCTACATTCAGATTAAGATCACCAGACGCGGTTGCGTTCACTTGTGCCATATGACACACTACAAGTTAACTCTTCATCTCCACTATATATATATATATATATATATATATATATACCACTTTTGTTTATAGGTTACTTTATTAATGGTAGCAAAATATCGGGGAAGTTTAGGATGACTTTCTAGGAAGTGGGGTTGCTTTTACAACGAACTTGGCCAAGAAGGTCATCTGATGGAGTGGTTTTCACCTTTCCGGAAGTCTAGTCTTTAGTAGTACTGATCCTTCCTTCCTTGAGGGGTTTCTATCTTTTGGGGTATTGATTTGCTTTGATAGGAATATCTCTCTAATATGTATATGTATATATATAATTATGGGGAAATTAAAATGCTCCACTCTTTTTCTACATTTTTTTAATTAAACTTTTGTGTCTTTTAAAGATTTGATCAAAATGCTTGGACAAATGGCCACCTAAGCATTTTAAATTTTTTTATTTACATATCAATAGTTTATTTCTTTTAAATGAAAAATATTATAGGTTGATTTCCCACTTTATCTTTTAGTCGATGGAGGTTTGTTTTACGTGTCAGAATTTATGCCCCTTTTTAAGGGATATATTAACTACTAAATGGATATTAACTATTAAATCATCAAAATTATTTGTCCCTTTTAAGGGATTATTAATGGATATTAACTATTAAATCATCAATACTATCTCCTGAATTTTGAATTTTGAACAATTTTTTTTTAATTTTTTCTGTTGCAGCTCACTTTCACTTGTGTATTATATGTACCTCATACTGTTTATCTCCGGCAGAGATTAACAGAACTTGAGGTACGTTTCATGGTTCAACAAGTATACCTAATAATTGGTTATGCTACTTTTAAGGAATGGTGTAACCATAAAAATATTGGTTCAAGTAGAGCATTAAGGATTTTCTGATGGAGGCGAATCCATCATTGTTTCATTTAGTGCTGAAAGAAGAACTCTTGCTTTGTATGTTGTGATCTTTACGATTACTACGCCATTTGAACGCTACAAACATCTTGATTCTTTGGAAAAAAAAAACATCTTGATTTCTTTCCCAAATAAGGAGTATCTCAAAACAGATTCATGAAGAACAAAGAGGAGGTTCCATTAAATAAGAGGATTGCATATATGGTTAATGTGTGTTTCTCCGTCTATTGATATGCCTAATTTGAATTGTACCCATGTCATGTTGAAACATACTAATATTGGTTTGAGACATCACAATGCTGACGCACCCCAACCCGGAATGTCCGCTAGGACTCCGAATCGCGCTGTGATGGCCGATACCTAGAAGGTGACGAAGCAAAAAAGTGTGATAATACGTAAACTATGAATAAATTTAAACCTAAAAGTGCCTCAATATACAAGTGCGCGGTGAGCGGGTATGGACCCATTCACACGTGATACCGAGCATAAGTAAAGTATAGCAAGGTAAGATAATGATTATACCCTCATAAGAAGCCACTTGTACTGAAAAGTGCCACAAATCCTCGTTGATACGGAAACTTTGCTACTAAAACCTGGAAGGGCACAAAGCAGAAAAATGTGAGTGGGCGAAAACAAGCTCTTCAAAACCATTTCATTTATCAAAGTGATAACCCTTCGTCGTAAAACCGGAATAATTTCTCAAAAAAAAAAAAAGAATACATATCGATATCAAAACCATACCCGGAATAGCAGAATCCACATGTATGCCATGCCCACTATCTCAACATAATGAAATAAGTAACCTAGGTGAAATAAATCCATGAAAAGTAATATGTCAGCTGAATTCACCTATTGTGGTTTGTACGACTGAACCTAGTTCATCCAATGTCCAAGTAATATGTTAGCCGGATCCACCTCTTGTGGCCTGTACGGCTAAACCCATAACTCATCACATATCCAAGTAATATGTCAGTCGGATCCACCTCTTGTTGCCTGTACGGCTGAACCTATAGCTCATCACATATCCAAGTAATATGTCAGCCGAATCCACCTCTTGTGGCCTGTACGGCTCAACCCATAGCTCATCACATATCCCTGCACACGAGTCGGAACCACCTTTAGTGGTCTGTACGACAGGACTAGATGTAAATAAGTACGCTCAAGTGCTACGATCACGTGAAGACTGTGCAAATAATCGCAGGTCACCTACGAGTCAGAACCACCTATAGTGGTCTATACGACAGGACTGTGCACCTACCTCGGATTCAAGGTGAGCGTAAGGTGCAGGAGGTGAACATCACGTGAAGGACTGTGCTTTGGCCACGGGCGGGAGCACTAACACCGGGGTGCAGGTTTATGAGCTCTAACTGTATCTAATATAACATATATGACTCATGGGCAACCTGTACGACAGTGTCGAAGTTGCCTAAAACATAAATGTAGTCATACGATAACTCAATCATTTCAACTAATACCATAAACTCACCTGACCTTACCTGTGCGTCCTGCATTCACCTTCGCACTTCAATGCATTCACAATAATTATATGCAGGTAATGTACATATGGATATGCCATGATGCAATCTAAAACTCAACCATATCATAGTATTTCCAAATATACACATATATAATATGAAATAAAATGCATAAGTTGTAACGCCCTACTCCCGAACTATTTATTTTCAAGCATAATTATCAGTGATAAGCCCAATTCGACATTAGTTTAATTAACTATCATTACTTATGTTTCCTTACTTCAATTTCTTGATTCTTCACACATTGATTTATGACCAACATTTAGCCACCAAATCATAAGGTTAAATCTCACATTTTCCACCAATGTCCCTCACATTGCTCAATTCCCCAAACAAGGCTATTGTCTCAATTATTTAGTCTCATTTATTGTATGGATGCATCTAACGTCTCGTTAGACTGCCTACATATCCTAAACAGGGATCAAGCCATTCGTAGTTTGCACTAGTACTTCAAAACATTCACAGTAATTATATTTCGGTAATATTCATAAATCAACTTAAACACATTTGTGGAATTATCAATCATATGTATATATATACGATAGAAAGGAAAAGACCCACTCACTAATATGTAGAAGGGTCGCAGCCCCCGAGTCTCGCTTGACTGCGGTCGTCTTTTGGAAACATCTCACCTATATGCGAAACAACTATTTTAACGTTATTTTAAGCACATACTCAAAACTAGGTAATAACTTCTCATATATTGCTCAATTAGGGTGTTTGAATATACCAACGTGATCTACTCAACCCCACGAACATCCCCATATTTTTAGAAAAATTTTCCGATGACCCACACGCCCTCACGCGCTGGCCAAGGCACGGCTACATGCACGGCCACGCGCAGACACGTGCCTGGCACACCAAACGGAATACTTAACGGCGTTAGTAAATATTTCGTTAAATAATAGAATATGCCGTTAAATATACCTGACGCCGTTAGCATATTCTGTCAACTTTGACGGAATATTCCCTTCCTTCAACCTTAGCTCACCGGAGTCCGGCGCCGGTGACCTCTGCAACTGCCGGTTTCTGGAAAAACTTCTAATCGTCATATCTCACTCATTTCAACACCAAACTTCACAAAATTTAAACCAAAATGAAGCTTAGGATGAAAGGAACACATCCTTACCACTTTTATGCCCTAAAACTCACGAAATCTTGCCGGATAAATCCTGATAATCCGGCCACCTCTGCAACTCGCCAAAACTGAGCTTCCCAACATCCAAAACCTTTCAAAATCATTCCCTAAGCTTCGTGAAACAGTCATAAGGCTCACTAGAACCTTAAAATTCAACAAAACCTTTGCGATCACGACGGATTCACTATGCACCACATTGGGGTTTCCTGGTTCCTGAGTTTTGGAAGTCTTCAAGTCCAACCAAAGGTATAAATGAGTTCATGGGCTCACAATGAACACGAATATCACCTTCACAGCCTCAATCCGTGCACGAAATGGTTGGTTCACCAGTTGACCGTACAATTGTACGGAAAATGAAGAAAAACCGAGAGGGAGTAGAGAGAGAGTCAAAGAGAGTGGTGTGTGTGTGTGTGATCCTAGTTGGTCACCAAACAAAACAAAAGAAAAATAAAACCTAAGTTCTAATTGGGTCCAAGAACTTAGGAAAAATTGAATTGGTCGACAACCTAAATTCATCACACCACACAACGTCCAAGGGTAAGATAGGAATTTCACACTATCAAGGATATATTTCAGGACCGGCTGTCACAACAATTGTCACATCCCGAGCTCGACTCTCCTGTAGCACGATATTGTTCTCTTTAGGCCCCAACCATGCCCTCACGGTTTTGTTTCTTGGAACTCACACGAGAACTTCCCAGTGGGCCACCCATCCTGGGAATGCTCTCGTGCGAACTCAGTTAACTTCGGAGTTCCGATGGAAGCCGAAGCCAGTGAACTCCCAAAAAGCCTCGTGCTAGGTAGAGATGAGAATATACATATAAGGCTTACATGATCCACTCTCCTGGGCGATGTGGGATGTTACAAATACCAAATTGAAAGATACCGATACTTATAGAAATGTACATGTGCCAATTTGAAACGTACCAAACATACCAATGCCAAATTGAAACATACCGATACTTATAGAAATGTACATGTGCCAAATTGAAATGTACCGCTACTTATAAAATGTACCCATGCCAAATTGAAACGTACCAATATATCGGCTAGAAATGTACCAATGCTAAATTGAAATGTACCTTTTAACTTCTACCACTAGACTCTATTTTCCAAATGTACCATGGTAAGGATCCTCAAATGTACAATGCTAAATTGAAACGTACCTAATACCATGTACCACTATAATCTATTTTCCAAATGTACCATGGTACGATACTCAAATCAAGAGGTGCATAAAATGAAAATACAAAGGAAATGATTATAAATGACAAGGGAGAATGGAAGAGTGTCAACTGACCTGAGCAAAGAAATGGCACGAAAAGATTGTTGAATGGTCGTGGAAGAAAATGGCAGAAGTATATATCACGTTAGAAGTAGAAATAGATCAAATTTGAATAGTTCTTAGATTTTTTAAAACATACGTCCACTAGATTCTAGGAGATTTGGAATATTAA